ACTAACCTACAAAATATAAAATCTAAAGATGAAAAAGTCTTACAACAAAAAGATAATACCAAGGTAGACCTACAAAACTTAAGGAATACAGACTACGATGTAGAGTCCACTTGTGGTAAAAAAAAAAATTAACATTACACAATTTGATAAGCAACGATACATTTACAGTAAACTATTGTTATGAATTTTTTAGTTGTGAGCGTTTCTCCCAAGCATTCATGATGTATTTTTTACAGAAATTATCAAAAATAGAGGTAGATTCATCACAAATGTGTATAGCATTTGCTAACAACAAAGGAATTTCTATAGTGATTTGTTTTACACTTAACTTATATTGTGTAATTATGTTTGAAAGTCATTATTTTATTCTATATTTATAATGAATTAAATAAAATTAACGATCTCTTCAAATTTTACATCTATTTCTAATGTTAAAAAGTAGCCTGTGTGCGGGGACTTTGTATGCTGTAGCTGTTTTGTAAGTTTGCGTGATAAAATAGCGATTGATACTTACAGCAAACGGCAATCAATAATGAAATGCTACTACCAATGTTTCAAATATATTTTAAACTTACTATATAGTTAGGTAGATTTAATAGATTAGAAGCACATAACTTCGATTTGCATTGAAAATTTTAAAATTTAATGGCAAAATGGGGTGGGGGATGTTCCGTGCCCCTACTGGATCTGCCCCTGAAATATATACATTTTGTGAAGATTTTTTAGGGAAAATTTTTTTTTCTTTCATTCAGAAGATGAAGATGTTGCAAACAATGAAATTTATATCATTGAAAACCTATTGTCTGCTAAGGAGTATATGATCGCTGTAGCTGCAGTAAATGACTTTGCAACTGGAGAACCTTCTTCACCTGAGATATCAGCAAGAACACTGGCCACAAGTAAGAGGCTGTATTCTGTGAATCTTGTCAAGCAGAAATCAGTTCAACTTTGTTACATGACAATGGCTCACAGTTGTGAAAATTAATCATTCCATGGCACAAATTACAAATAATATTAATAATAATGATTATGTATGAATATTTGAATGATATTCTTTAAAAAATAAAAAGTGGAGGACTATTATGACTGGGACTGTCATGACATCTTGTCGTGGGCATGGGTTAATAATGGATGCTGATAAATTAAAGGGCCCAGAACAGTATGGACAGGTTTATGTTTTGATATATATTCTGTCAATGTGTAATAGTACGATAAAAATATCCAACTAAATAAATGAATGAATGAATATTTAAGGCTTGCCATTCCAAAACCAGCATACTGTCAATAAATGTTAAACTAGTAATTAGCATAACAATGTGGCAGTATTGTATACTTTATTACAGAGAAACTGTAATCTTTTTACTCATACCTTTGGCAATAGTAAATCAATTTCAGTAAATGACCTATCATTTTAAAGTTGATTTGTGGACAAAGATCTTATAAACACAAGATAGCGTTCTCCGTGATTTACGCGTACAAATTCTGTAATAAGGCATGAATGGCGCCCTCTTGCTAAATTGGAAACTTTTGACCCTTGACTGCTCTGACCATATTGTACACCGCGCGGTGACTTTACCTTTAGGGTATCAATCCTGTGAACAGCAGAAAGGAACCATCTCAGATCCATGGCAACAGATAGGACGCCCTCTTCCAAAACTGATTACTTTTTCTCTTTGGTATAATAGCGCATGAAATAGCGCCCTCTTGCTAAATTGGAAACTTTTGAACCTTGACCGACGCTTCTATTTGTTACGCGTAAATCGCGGAGAACGCTATCTTGTGTTTATAAGATCTTTGTTTGTGGAGAATATGAATATATCAAGGTTGTAGCTGAAGAAAACTAAAGGTGGGTAATAGACATTTTGAGGGTGGGTGGGTGATAACATTTGGTAAACTCTAATAATGAGAGTGGATTTTAAGGATGGAAAAATGGGTTAATACAGGCAGGTAGAGGGCCATGAAATTAGTTTTAGACTGGGTGGAAAACTTCAAGGCTGGGTGGTGGCCCCACCCACCTTGGCCCATCATAACTACATCCCTGCGTCATTGATGCTGTTTTTTTGGCATGGCAAGCCTCATGTATGTTAACACATTTACCATTAACTCACAATTTAGTATTATAATATAATAAATAACATAAAAAATACACAATAAACAATATTGAATATGTGGCAAAGACAAGCCAAACCAGTCACTCGTTGCAAAAATCAATTTTTAATTATTAATACCGGGTTAAACAGTAAAATGAGAGCTATAAAATGGTAAAAGAATCATTAAATCCAACATTTCCTTATGAAGTTACAAGCATTTAAACATACAGCTGTTTAAAGAACAATATTTCACTAAATCATTAAAAATTGTTGTTTTAAAACTTAAAATGGGGAAAATAACAGCATATCTGATGTGCAGATATATAAAGGTTAGTTAGTGCAATAAAATAGATTTCAAAAATTTAGACAATGCATTCCAGCATGTTTTGGCCATTATCTCTAAAACACGATTTTGCGACGAGTGACTGGTTTGGCTTGTCTTTGCCACATATTCATGATTAATGTTTAATGTGTATTTTTGATGTTATTTGATGTTTTTCGCCCAGGCTTTCCCCCTTAGTTTGGACCTTGAGTCTATGGAACCTGTCCTTTTGCATCCGTTTCTTGTGTCTGATGTTTTGTAATGTTCCTTTAGTGATGAGTCGCAATAAATTTAATAAAGAAAATGATTATTATATTTTGTTAATATGAGCTCCGCACCCACTCCCTTTGTTCATTTTTGTATGATGGTTTAAAAAAAATAGCTTTAATCTTTTATATAGTAGCCATATTTTTTAGCATTTTACCAACCAAAAAACAAGAGGTGAGTGATGGTGGAATTAGGTCAAGGGCATCTGTAAATTGTGGCGTTCAACTGCCCCTACAATTTAGACCAAACTGGTGATTTTGTTAATGTAAAACTGATCTAAATGTTAAGCTATATTTAGTTATTTTGAAATATTGTTTTAACCAGAGACAGAGCATACTGTCAATAAATGTTAAACTAGTAATTAGCATAACAATGTGGCAGTATTGTTGTAGGCTGCTTTGATACAAATGAGGCATGTTGTGGCAAAATGGCTGAGTTGTAGCAAAAATTGAAATTCAAGTTATTGGTATTTTCAGATACCTGGGTATGTGATCTTTAAAATGAGGGGTCATTCATTAAAATTGGACATTTTAAGCCTAAGCTGTTGGAAAGTGAAAGTACAGTACTCTTAGAATCAAGATAAACATGATTTTAAGTAATTGACTTTCAAAGTTACTTGTGCATACATTGTTTAATGGAATGGACTATCAAAATAACGTTAAATAAACAACTTTTTGACCACTTCCAGAACTAATACTTTGGTATATGATTAATAAGACATTAAACTGTTGATCTATAGTGAAAAACAAATTTGGATTTTTAGGCAATTTTTTGAGCTCCCATATTTTATAGCTCATTTACACAATACTGGCCTGTGCGACAACTTAACCATTTTGCAACGACATGCCTCAAATGTTCACCAGATGGCTTGGGCAGCCCACACTATATATGTTAGGAGCCTTCTCTGTGACCTTCGTTAAAACAGATGCTCGTTTACCTATCATCATGTTACAATTATCAGACGAAAATCCTACAACATTGTCCCATAGTAGTCCACTGCTACAAAGAGAGCCATTCACAACATCAAAAATTTTCTGGGCTGTTGCTACATTGCAAACTGGCACCAAAATCGCGCATTCCTTCTGGCACAGTATATCATTGGATTCATCCAGCATTAATGTAAACGGCTGTCTACGGTCTCTCAGGCAGGAAAACATTACTTTGGATGCTTCTGGTTCTAAAAAGAACCAAAAAATATAAAACAGAATTTAGAATATTTTATATAATAATACAAATTCTATGTATTAACCTACAGTTACTTGCCCAAGTCGCATAAAAAAATGCATTGAAAATTTGTTTGACGTGGATAATATTTGACTTCTACAGATCATCAACTAATGGAAACATAAGCATTTTTGGAATGTAAAATAAAATCAACTTAAAAAATATATTCTAGTTAGGCAAAGCAGACTTAGGCAAATTGAAATGTAGTAGTAAATAAAAAAGTGCTTCTACTTTCAGGTGTAAGTAACTTTCAATGTAATTAAATAATCAGAAAGGCTCTCATTTTGGCTAATAATTAATACAAAGAAAGCAGGCCTGTTAAGATCATTTAATATGTTACTGCACACTTATACAGTCATTAATTTATTTATTCTCATAAATACTTTTAATTGATCCAAAACATATTAAAATAATTTATCTTAATATCAACAGCAGTATGAGAGATTAATAAAAGAAAAACTCACCTAATGCATTCCCAGTTATTGCTGCAGTTTTCATGTAAGAGCACCTGTACTCTTTGGCCACCTCGGAGTCTGGAAACATCTGCTTAAAAAGTTGGTTTGCATGCTGAGAAACAGCAAATGGAAGGTTATGTTCCAGGATGAAGGCCGTAAATAATACCTCTGCTCTGATTAATTTCTCTTTCAATGGACCACTCTGTGAGGTGAACTTGAACGTCTGATTCTGGGCAATTTCTTTCGCACATTTCTCATGCTTCTTTCCCTGTAAGTTAAAAAATAGAATTACATTAATTCACGGACATTAAAACTTAGATATATATTGTTATACAAACTAAGGCATAGAGAAATTATGTGCAAAACAGAAGTTAAAAATGACACCAGACCTAGGCCTAACTAGCCTAAGGCACGCATAAAAAAATTGCAAGCCTTTGCCTAGGGCTAGGCTGCCTAATAATTAATTACATAATTAACAGGTAGCAATTTTCTTGCTACACGGCAGGCACTGCAAAACTTATTTTGTCGGCCACGATTTGATAGTGAGTGTGCAACACCAGGGTAGACAGCTAAACATGTATTGCTAGCTTAAAGCTAGGCTTATGCCGGGCCCTAATTAGTACTACGTCTAGGCTAGCCTCGAACAGCACCTTGTGAGTCTGAGAGTCCTCCCCTAGCCCAGGCCTTAACTAGGCTTAGCCTAGGTAGAGATAGGCCCCGGCTCTCCTAGCCTACAGCTTAAAATTTGAATGTAAAATCTTGCCTAAGTTTCAACATTCAGCGTTGCAAACAAATCATATAATACATGAACAATGTATCAGGTTTTTTTTTTATATAATGAGAAAATCAATTTACCTTAATGTGTTTGTCAACATCGTTCTTTCCTCCATGACATACGGTGAACACTACATTACAAACGGTGCACTTTGCAGCATGCGAATCAGACTTGACCCCTATTATACTTGGGTACATTTTCGTGAAATCTGGTTTAAATGAGCATGCGTACTTGCCTTCTTCTGAGGATGAGCAGGCATTTCAAAGCGGTGTTTTGAATTCGGCGATGGCTTTTGCAGGATAGATAGTAATACTGGAATAGATGTTTTCTTCTCAAAAATCGAACGAACTGTGACATATTGGCCCAAAAACTGCTCATGTTATGTTGTTGCCTGTCTCTAAAGTTTCCGACAAAAGCAAAGCAAATTGCTTCGGTTGGGTTGGGGTAGGTAGAGGTGTCAACCACAGTTTATCAAAAGATTAGGCTTAGGCCAAGCAATCATTGTCTACTATAGTAAAGATGTAAATGGGTGCGCCTAGATATTGCGTAATAGCACAACAAAGAATAAATGATTGCTTTGTTTTCAAGTGCCAGCGCAAATCCATCACTATTGTTTAGGTAGCATCTAGCGTCTTGGCTAGTTTTGGGCTGAAAAATAAAGACCAGGGAGCACGATTTTTAACAATTTCGGGATATTTCTGAAAACTCCCAAAATTCGGGAGAAAACTGTGCTTTCGCGGGGGAGCGGGAGACGACCCAGAAAAAAGGGAGAAACCCGTAACTTTTGGGAGAATTGGGATCTCTGCCAGTGAGCTATGGCCTCTTTTGTGTGAAAGCCAGTCAGATTAAGCATCTCTCCGGGGTCAAAGTAGTTAGCTTATTTGTGGGAATATTTGTAGTTAAGAACGCTATTTTCACAATCGTTGCAGTTTTGGCTATTGTATGTTATTTGTCATTTAAATATCCCTAAATACTCTCCATGTCAACTTCAACTGGATCTGGCCCTCGGGCCTGTTGGACAGAGGAAGAAATTAGTGACTTGATAGAGATTAGAATGTTAGTGGAAGACAAGAAATCAAAGAAAAATACCAAAATACATAAGAAAATCGTAGTGAGATTTTCATTTGTGCCAGATTACTCGCAGACAACAGCACGGCAAATCCAAACAAAGTTGAAGGACCTAACTAAGAAAACGGTACAAACAGATTTACCTGGAGGTGGTGAATAAATCGGGATCTTGGGCCCCAAGCTGGCCGATTCACCACAGAATTGGAAACATTGGCGATCGCCCAAAAATGTCAGGTGCGGATGTTGGAGGATCGTCGATGCCACCTCTACCCAGGCCTAGGATCAGAAATCGCAAGTCTAGCATGTCTAACCAATTGGGGATGTGACGTAAACATATTTCCAATGCCTCGAAAGCAGTAGCAAACACAGTTTGGCCATTTTGTTATTTTACGCAATCTCGCTCACGACCCAGCGCCTGAGCTGCTCACGATCGATGGAGACATGTGAACGTGACTTGGCTCTTTAGACAAGAAATTTTATCTACTTTTGTGTGTCTCCACATTAATAATTTACAGTTTCTAAATGCCCAAAATTGCCCAGTTTTGTTTTGGATGCTTTTGTGCGATTTGTTTATTTACATTACATTTGTTCAATTACATTATATATATATATATATATATATATATATATATATATTCATGTTATCATTACCACTATATTGATCTTATTCTTAAATGGGGTTCTCAATGATCATCTACTGTTTCTGGCAAACACAAACCAAATCACAATTTCATAACTTTGTAGGAGTGTAAACATGGTGTAGTAAGGTTTGATGTAAACCTCATTTGTTTACAGTAATGTAAATATGTCCAATACTAAAAAAATCTACCCCAATCTCTTTAGCCATTCTATGTGTTAATGATAGAACCCTGTCATTTTTAGACATGGCACTATCTACACAGGAACCTATAGTTAAGTAGGTATTGAATGATTTATATGATGGACTCTTTCAGCCTAACAGACCTAATGAAGTTGTACCTGATGGGGATAAGTCCAGCCCTCAGCCTGTCAACAAAGATGTCAATCAATACATAATCATTGACCTTGAAGAAGCCACGGATTACAGGTTAGAATTGTGGGCCGAAAACGCTATCGGGCCAGGTGACCGGACAGAGTTTGATTTTTCCACTGCTGGAGCGAAGCATGAGCCTACAAGTTAGTATATAATCTTTATAATGTAATGTCATGCACATCATCTGTTTTCTGCCTCCTGGCAGGTTCACAGTCAATTTCTCCAATTTTCTCTATCATGATTTACGTTTCATGAAGGCATACAGTAGCTTTCATCTATTTCCTTCAGGTACTCTAAAAACATTACTCTCTTCCTCGAGGCCACTTTTCTATCTTTACTTCAGCAATATCTCTCAAAAGACCATCTCCTTTAAGTACATGTCCAAAACATTTCTTCTTTCTGTCTTTTATCATAAAAGTCCTTTTCTCCTTTACTCTCTCAAGAACATAGATTAGAATATTTAAACACAAACAAGATACATAGACACTTTATATACCTTGTTTAGCAAACATACTATATATTGATATTGGTGCCTACTGTATATTGAATACAATGAGTCTGCTCCACATCTATTTGAGAGCGCCGCTTATTCGAGCATTTACGGTATGTTTTTATCTGATGTAAATAATGTTATTTCTGTCCTCGTCTTGCAACTAGCTATAAGAACCTCTTCAGCTACAGAAAGTAGAAATTATAACACTGTTGGAAAACTGACAACTGCAGGATCTACTTCAGGTTTAAGACAGATTATTTTGCTTTTGGCAGAATGAAAGTTTTGTTGGCGCTACCATTTTCTTTTGATAAACTAAACATTTTATGAAATTAATTATTCATAATTTTTTTTTTCTGTTAAGTCCTGTCCACACTATTATGTTTATGTGTATTTTGTATACATTGGATATAACATATTTATTGTCGTGACATGGAATCACCTCATATGGGTGTGATATGACATGTTCTTCGCCGTGATATGACATCATCGTATTTTTATATGGCTATGATGTGACATCATATTCTTAATGGGTGTACATGTAACACCATCATGCACATTTATGTGTTATTCACTAGGAATCCCAAGTCTGTTGGAATTTGTGATTCTGCAAATGAGGAAGGTCACTTCCACAAGCATGGCAAGAATCTTCCCGGAAAATAATCCCATCTCCTGCAAATTCATATTTGCATGTTTGACTACCTTATCAATCGTCTCACAGAAGTTGATGCCAATGGGTATCAGCATGTGCAGCGAAATAAAATGCGTTACGAAAGCTCACCAGAACCAGATCTCCTGGTAGTGACTTCTTCCAAATTGGAACCACCGAATTACAGATATTTGCTACAGAAAATGTGATAGTGCGGTCAGGGCTTTACAGTTAAGCTCCTATGCTCTAAAATTGGCTGCATCGCCTAATCGCATGTATAACAACAGACTGTAATGAGATAAAACACTATGGTTAACTTGAAAATTTATCGCAAATGATTAAATTTGCACAAAATACCAGAAGTGTGAAATTGCAACTGTATTTACTACAGCAGGCAATTCATTATAATATTGAACTTTTGGAAAAGAATATTATATTCCAATCAATTATTTCAGTTTCCAAGGAGTTGCAAATCAGTTTCCCAGGAGTTGCACCATGTTATGGCAGGGTTTAATTTTAGTGATATTGGTTCTAGCAGTCTAATATACATTGATGTGTGGATTGTGCTCTGCTGGCTTGGGTTAAATTTTGAGATCATTTTTGCTTATAATTCCAGGCCTGGCTTGGTGTGGCATTAGATGTGTGCATAGTTCCATATACCATATATACTAGCGTATAAGACGAGGCCTAAAATCGTAAATTACGATCGAAAAACGGGGTATGCACAGCATACAAATTTTAGATCATTTATCATGTTCGTCTTATATGCGGATCGTCCATAACACATTAATTTGCTACTGCAATTCTACTAAAGCTACTAAATGTTAGTATGAATGTACGCAATTTTAAGTACTGAGAAATAAGATTTTGATGAACAACTAAAAAAAATGGTATTATTTAGAAGATTCGCCTTGCATTTGGCTCCATTTTTAGTCAGCTAGATGCACTATCAAGACCATAAAAGGCAGAAAAAAATGTAGGAATTTTGACGATAGAATAAGGGGTTGTCTTATTTATATGCCCAACGTACACAAATCGTCCAAAATCTTCTCGAGCTTGGGGATAAATGTGGGTCGCCTTAAGCCAGGCATTCATTTGCACCCAACGGTTGTCGGCCAACATGATTCTATGAAGAACGCCACGACGCGTGCACAACGAATCAATTTTAATGACAAACGACAGACGGCGTCGTGTACGACACAGTGAGTACCCAGCATTATACACGAGTATATACGGTAGTTATGATTTTGCATGATGATGAAAATAATGTGTTTTCTCTCCTCTCATCCTGTAACTAGCTTTGACACCCTCCTCATCAGCTACGAAAAGTAGAAATTATAACACTGCGAAAATGACAACTGCAAGATCTATTACAGGTTTTACTAGATTCTTTGGCCTTTTGCTGAATGACTATTTTTTTGGCAACTCCATGTTATAACAGCTCTAACCATCCTTTTCTTTTCAGAATCAAAACATTTTATTAAAGATTTTAATTATTCATATTATTAATAATTCAGTTTAATTTTGTTTTTCCCTAAAGTTCTGTCCATACTATCAGTCATTATGTGAACTTTGTACTTTGACCGGTGTGAAATGACATCATCATATTTATGGTGTGACATCATTAATTAATATATAGTGTTTTTCATCTAGAAATGCTAAGTCTGACCCAAGTAAATCCTAGTTTAAGGCTAGGTTACATTTTGTCATAAACCGATTTGCTTAGAACCTTTCACCAAGACCATTTTTGGTGTGAAAAGGGCTTATGTGATACAACATCATCAGATACTTTGTTACACAGAATGTGTTAGTGTGGACAGGAGTTTTATCATCCACGCTTAAAAATTGGTCACATTGCTTAATTTTTCTTTTCCATTTCAAATTTGTATTTTTTCTTTAAATTGATGCTGCTGCTGTTTCTCTATTTTAACCAAATTCAAAACTATGTAAGTAATGTATGAACATGTAAATGTGTGTTTTAATGTTTCATAATCTGATCTACGGTTCAATTTATTTACTGTATTGTCTAATGTTATATAATACTAACAATAACATTTAAAACAGAACTGTAGAGATATAGAGCATTAGTAAATTAATTTTTATCATGGCTCAACTCCAATAAAATAAATAAATTTGAAACAACGTAAAGAAAACTTGAAATCCCTCTGGAAAGCATAATGATGATAATGATAATTAAACTAGACTTACTATCCTTGCATTCAGACTGTGTTCTCGGCACATGTTCTCGGTATACGTCAATTTTTGTAGTCTGTACTCTTTTATTCATTACGACTAAAATGGCGTACAAGTGCATTTCTATATGCCTGGGAATTGTTCATGTCCTCTACTGGTGGTTGGTCATTCCAACACATTTTCGATGTTGAAGTCTATGACATCACGCTCTACTTCACAAAGATTGTGAAGTACACAGGCAGCAGTGACTAGGTGGATATTTTCAACCTGAAAGAAGTAGGAGGAAGTGATTCTGCACCCTGAAAAATCATTAATTTTTATAAGAACATACACAAATGCCTAGATGTCTGTTTCTTCACTTTTTTTGTATAACATTTATAATTTTCTATTTTGTTTTCCTGAACTTAAATACTTGGCACAATGAAGAAGAAAACTTTGTAAACTTAATAGAAAACAAAGTACATAGAAGCACATTTTGCTCCATAATTGAAGAATCTCAGTGTAGATCTCTAGATTTTCTTTTTACCTTGCTTTCATTAAGCTTATAGATGCTTCTCTAGCGCATCTTCAGCATTCCAAATGTTTGTTCTACAACAATGCGTGCACTGCTTAATGTAGTGTTGAAGCGATGTTGATCAGGGGTTAAGCGGCCAGTGTCAGAAAACCCCTTCATTAACCAGGGCAGGAGCGGATAGGCTGGATCGCCAATAAGAAAGAGAGGCACCTGGACACCTTCTATCTCTGCAGTTTGCTGTACATTGTATGAAAATCAATATTAAGTTACATAAAACATAAAATGATGGTGTTGCTTTAATTTTGATTAATCACTTATCCGAAGACAGATAACACAGAATATGAAAATCAAGCAAGATTTAAGGAGGTAATACCATTGGAAGAAGCCTTCCTGCTTGAGCTCTTTGAAACAGAGAGGAATTTGAAAGCACTCTTGCGTCATGCACGCACCCTGGCCACCCCACTAGAATATCAGTAAACCTGTGAAAATATTGTAAGCAGAAATGGTGTCAAAGAAATTATACAAAATGGCAATAAGATTGGGCAAGCGTATTAAAATATTTGCCTGGATTGTCCACCTTTCAAGGTGCCTGTCTCTTATACACATCTAGATGTGTATAAGAGACAGCCAGTATGACAGAATGAAAACCTTTACGGTTTACATAATCCTTGGCATTCTCTGAAGGGGCTGATATTTCTATGTGACTGCTGTCAATAGCTCCTACACATTGTGGGAAGTTGAGCTCATGTTGAAATCCCTCTAAAACTTCCTGCAGGTTTTCTCCACGTGGGAATGCAATAAGACTAGGTAGTAGATGGTCTTGCATTACTCCGCAAATTTCATGTGTAATTACACAAGCACTTGATGTCCCTACAGTGAAGAGCTCCCCAATCGTTCTGTATGCATCTGGAGTAGCAAGACGCCAAAGTGCAATTGCTGCACGCTTGTGAAGAGGTATGGCATTGCGGAATTGGGTGTTTTCATATTGCACATAAGGACGAATTCTATCAACAAGAATGTTGAAGGTTCTCCTCTTCATTCTAAAGTGCGTCTTCCAGTCAGCATCATTGAAAGTAGTCAATGCATACTCCCACCAATTCCGTGGACGTGGTCGAACCCACATTTGTCTCCTTATGGTATACAATTCGGTCATTTCCTGGAGAGTCATCAGTGTGATTTCTAAATGCTGTAACATTACTCTGTTCATTCTCTGTTTGAGGTGAAGAAACAAGGGTAAAATACGGCGGATGTTTGACGATGTTGGGTTATTAACATAATGTTAGAGCATAACTACAAGACCACGGAACCTTAACTTGGATGATTGGGATATCATTAGCAATATCTTAAAGCATCAAAATTGCGGATATACCGATTACTTCTGACAATGGCATGATGTTGCTTGCGCCTATACTTGGGTTTGGTTTAAAGCCTACAGTGAATCTAAGCTCCTCTTAAAATGTTACACATGCATAAATGCCAAGAACATGGTTTTATAATCTGAACGATCGTATTTCGAAAACATTTTCGTTCGGTGTGGTATGTGAAACATGTGCCGAGAACATAATGTTACGAAAACATTTTATGCCGAGTACATAATCTGAATGCGCCCTATGTCTGTTGTTAAAACAGAACATAGCTGTTCCTCTTTGACAAGAGAACTGATTGAATTTAGAAAGTAAATTAAATCATATGTATGAAAAAAAAATTATGAAAAATCACTTAACACTCTTGAGATTTGAACCAGTGCTGCAATTGTTTTAGAGTTCTAAACACATTGCTATACAATCGGACCCCCGCCGAGGTTTATGCATTTTTGTTTGTCAACCTTCTGTAATTTTACAGGTTGAGAGTGAAAATTGTTCATGTATTGCACCTAGGTTTAGCTGGTTGGAAATGCTTTAGAAAGCACAAATTGTGTAAAAACTGTTACCCATTTATTAATATTCAATATATTTAGATTGACATCACATTTTAATAATAATAATAATAACTTTATTTAATAAAGCGCAAAACAAAGACTTAAAATGATCACCAGCGCTGTACAGAATTTTAAAATATACATTTACAAAAAAAAAATTTAAAATACATAAGAAATATACATTAAAAGTATTGGAAAATATAATGATCACAAAATCACAATACCATTTAGCACATCAAAAATCTACATTGAAATAAAAGAAAACACGACATGAAAGAGAACGATAAAACACTAAAATATTTTTCGTAATATGCACATCTTTGATCTATGCTTCCACAAATCTTGAAGAAGATCAAGACCACTGTGCAAAAACGTAGGAAAACAGGATAGAAGAAAAAAAAATCAGAAAATAATATATTATTATTAAAAAAAAAAAATAAAAAAAAAATAAATTACTCTTTAATTTAATTAAATTAGTAACTTTGTGCTACTAAAAACAATGTCCTATCTCAAATTATGTAACAATATGCACTATTTTAAGTTCATCAACCATATAACTATTCTAATTGTTTTTTATTTTATACATTAAGTTATATACATCAATTATTTTTAATGTGCTAATAGCATAGTATGTGAACAGTTTTTGTTTTTTTTTTTTGGTTTAGTTGGTAGTCTAAATTAGATGCTTTTCTTATTGTAATATGATGGGTGTAAACTGTAGCATTTGATCTATATTGTACTTTTTTTAATGTAATTGGTGCAATTTTCGTTATTAATCTTACTGACATCATGAGTATTTATTGGTGCTTTCATTACAATATTACATTTTTTTTTTGAGCATGTAATTTGTAGATTGTATAGTGTATGTTCTTGACATTGTACCGAAAAGCAGACAGGATGGGAAAACTGGCCTGAGATTCTGTGTGGCGTTAAATTACTCAATTTTAGCTTCGTTACCAGGATCTAATTTAGTTGGGGAACTCTTTGTTAAACTGGCTCTTTTTTTTTTTTTTTCGTATTTCAAATGATTATAAATATATGTTAATTAAATCGAAATATTTTTAATCATTCAGGACGTACTCCAGCTACAAGTACCGGTTTGGATAAAGGAACAATCATCGGGATAGTAATTGCTGCGTTTTTAATCGTTTTAATTGTGGTTGACATCTCGTGCTGCATCGTGAACGACTGTGGACTAACAATGTGTTTCTGTGTACACTGCTGCGGACGAAGCGCTCCAGCGCCCAACAAAGCTGAGATAGAGTTGGGAGAGTAAGTAATACCCTCATTTCTTACATAGAATTACCATTTACAACAATATAAATGTACAGATTATTTTGCATAAAAAGTTTTTTTAAATATATAATATTATGTTATTTTATTTTACAGCTATAAGCAGGAATGATTTTTACTGTTTTTGTTGATCATTGTTATGTTTTATTCTAGTGCTCCAAAGGCAATGTTTTCTTTGTATTAAGTGAAATGATCTATTTACACATAAAATTACAGTAATGAAATATAAATAAAATCAAAGAACTTCTTTTTATATTTTAGTATTCAAGAATACATGTGATCAATTTGAATCCGTTTACATAGATTATAGAGGCCTTGCCAGCTAATGCCTTTAACATAATTTTGTGATTGGTTGACAGACAAAACTATGTTATTAATTATTATCATTCAGTTCTAGAGTAGATGTTATGGCTACTGCTATGTCACTGTATCATTTAATCATCCAGATATAAATTGAAATTGCATTTAATAGATTATAGTAACCTGCCAAACTTTAAATTTTAAAGCGTTGTCCACTCTATCAAAATTGATGTGACATATAGGTGTGATATGCCCATATTTGGGTGTAATAACATTATCATGCCTATATATGGGTTCATCACACAAATTTGATAGTGTGGACAGAGCGTGTTCTTTTCTTTAGAGAGAAAGAAGGTCACACAAGGTCATTAACTGTTTTGTACCAGTTGCTCTGTGTTAATGTTTTTCGTATTGTTTTGATGTATTAAACATTAAGCTAGTTTCTAAAAATTCTAAAATCTGTTGTAAGCAACATATTGAACATATACACTAAACAATAACATTTATATATTACTTTATAATTTATATACTCGGTTATATACTCAGTTACTAGTGGTAAGTGTGTTGTTAACATAAAGCTTATATAATATATTTGGTTTTTGAGAAAACTGACAATAATCATATCTTCATAATCTTGATAATTAATGATAGCATTTTGGCCTGTTTTTAAAGTCAGGACTATTGAATGGTTTGCTGGTAAATAGCTCCCTTGGTTTTTAAATGTAGTAGGCTATTCATTGAGGCTGTAGTTATCCCAGTGTTCTTGGTTTGAATCCCTCTAAAAACAAATCATAAGTGGGGTAACTCAATATTAGATGATGATTAAATATAAATAAAAAATAAGCAAAAAATAAACCTGCTGCCCCCGTCCTGCATTCTATATACAGTTCATGTGCTTTTATTGTTGAGAGGATTACAATATCATTGCATTTGTTATTTTTATAACTGCTTTAGTATTTGTATTAGGTTGCGTTTGTTAGCTATACTAGAATGCAAAACTGTGTGCGGTAAGCATGCGATTGTTTTGTTCAAATATAACAAACAGTACAAATGAAATTAGCTGCTGTCTGTGTGGTACTAGTTAATAATTATTGATTCCCGCTTACTAAACGTACCTGTAAAACTATCATCATAATCTTTTAAGAGGTGACAAGTTAATGTAAGATAAAGACAAGTCATCCAGTAATGTCCCTGTTTATATATTAGTTTGCCTTTGAACTGGATAGTTCATTCGGTATTAAGAATGTGAAGATAATGTACCTTCTGCAGGGGAAAGGGAAACGGTGCGGTTACAAGTCAACAGATAACAACCGTGGATGAGGCTACACTACCTGACGAATCAGCCAATCAGGAGATAAATAGTTGTGATGTTGCTGCCAATGGGTGTGTCTGAAGATTTAGATCTAATAATTAATAATCTAATAATTAATATAACCTAATCATTATAATGATTGAAATCAGTAACTAGTACTACTATGTTGCATTGTCACTGTACCAGATGACATCGCTTTGTTACTTAGCAACTGTTACCAAGCAATTATTACAGCTGATGTAAGTTGTCTGTGCACATATTTAAATATAATTTTTAGTTCACAAATGAAGATATAATGTCATAAGATTAGATATAAATTTAGATATCAGTTGACAAGCTTGGTACTCGGGCTTAGCTGGGTAGCATTGCTGTGTAACAGAAGATGTCGTGTATTGCTATGATCAGTGGCATAATACTCTAACCCCTACACCCATTATTATAATATTTTGCACTATTTACCTAATCGATGGCTGAAGCAAGTATGCATATTGGCATACATAGTTTGACAGCTATATTTGAACTTTGTGCACCTGCATGTATATGAAGATATGCAAATGAGGCTATATTAATTTTTAAAAGATGCTAAGAAACTAGTAGAAATTAGTCTGATCAGCTTGAAGATATTCAGGTATAAACTAGACCAGTTACATATAGAATCATTACTAATGTCCATGAACACTGGTCTGCACAGTAGAAAGCAGGTCGTATACAACTACATCTTGACCTGATATTATAAGATAGCATGCATTGTAGTTTAGCCATTATGCAAAACTAATAATAGTTTTGTTTAATCTTTAGACATTTATGTTTATATATTTTCTATTTTATTTTACTAAAAATTATGATATATAATGTAGATCAGTTGTATTTAAATCATTTAAAAAAAATCTTGAATTCAATAAATAATTTTAAAAAAAAACTTCAATAATTTTGTAAAAATCCAACTTTTTTAATATTAGCAAACAAAAATAAACAGAATGTGTATAACATAACTTGTGCTTAATTTATATTGGGGGAACAAACATACACCCGACCTGTGACAATTTCCAAGAATTGCCCAAAAAAGTTTATGATGATGTCATTCTTCATATGGAAATCCAAGGTATTTGTCACATGAAAGGATATAAACATAGTTTACAATAAATTACTGGTAGAGTTGATAGTTATATATTAATGTATGATATCTTTTCACTTTATTTTCCAATCTCCTGATCCTTTCTTTCATTTCACTCATTACTCTGTTGATACTTTATATACTGACAACTATGCAGTTTGAACAGATCTTTCAAGCCCTGGATGCTTGCTTTTACCATGTAGGTATTTTGTTAAAATACCTCTATGGTGAGAATCAGCACTTCTAGATTCATTATACGAATGTGACATGCTAATAGTACTTTCTGATATGATTTATATTATGTAATATTTTTTATTATGAAATATTAATCTTATTATTTTCTTAGCCATTCGTGTATTTTACTTCATTTTCTTTGGTTTACACTTTTTGACAGTGCAAATGCAGACGAAAGATGGCACTTGTTTATACTTTCATATTATTGTTTGATTTAATATTTGTATGCTGGACATGACAGCATGGACATGTTTGGATTGTTAACATGTGTGGTGAGACAGGTAATACACCTGAATCTTGCAGTAAGAACAAAAGATACGAACACCCAACTGCCCACCCCAAATTTCCCAGCCCCAACTAAATTTTGTGACTGCTATAATATTCCTAGGGGTCAATGAACCTTTCAGTAGTCAATCAACTGAATAATTGACCAATCAGAACATAGCCAGGATTACGTATATCTTACGCTATTGCTTTGTTTTGTGGGATATTAGTAATAAGTAGCTTTTGATTTGTGTGATGACACGACGCTAGAACGGAATCGCTCATGCGTGACCGTCCTACCTGGCGTCCTATGTTCTCTGCATATTTAGATTTGGCCAAATTGCGTTCCAGAATCTATTCGACGAGGTGACTTTTAGTGACGTCATTATGTTCTATGTCCTACCGTCGTTGTGCAATCGAAAGCTCCCAAATATCCAAGGGTAGGAAGGTCTATTTCACCAAATGAAAATCAAATTTATAGCTCAAAATTGTATGTAAATACCATAGATTTTGTGTTGGTGGTTTTTAATACATTAAACTTAAGTTCTTCTGCAGAAATGTATTAACTGTACCATATCGCACCTCTAATCTTGTCTAACATGTATTATGGATACTTACTAATACTTTTTTATTAGTTTTCTTTGTATGGTTTTAAAATCATGCCCATTATATTTTAGTTATTTTTGTGTCGTTCATAATTTCGATATCAACTTCAGATGGGAAGACGGATAGAAATCTCTTTTAAATTACTGATATGTATTTATTTTTTTATGACACTTTTCCTTGAAATTCAGGTAATTTTTAAACAAATATTCCTAAAAATCTAAGAAGAGTTCATTCGTGGAGTCATATGCACTTGAAAGGGAGGTCCTAATAGAAGCCATTACAAGTTTAAAATCAGAATAACGCTGAAATAAAGAATAAATCCGAAACCATTGTCTATAGCCCATCAACATTCTCTACAGTATAACTTGTGACCAATAAATTTATTCTCACTCATGATATGAAATAATAAAATACATGGATTATTAATAATACAATTTTGCCATCATTTAATTTAGAACAATGATATAGTGTAATATTACAAAGGAATATTTTACTAATTTTTAATGGTTATATGGTATTATTTTTTTTATTGCTACTCTTTACTACTATTATAATAATAATAATAATATACCTAATTGAACTTTTTTTTAACATAGTAAAACTTGTTCCAGCAAAAGTTGTTCTACAAAAAATTATCAGATTGGAGACCAAGAAAAAACTACCATAAAGCTAACGTTAACTTAAAAACAATTATTCTAAATAATATGGGAATTTTGAGTTTAAGTATCTAGTATGCAGTGATTACAGTAACTTTCAAATTAAGAGAATATTGTATTGAATCTTCATTAAAGGTATATTACTGTTAATTGTTGATATTTATAAAATTTACGCTGTTCTTGGAGTTACTTGATACGGTGAAATCATTTTCAATATACAAGACAACAGTTTAATGAATTATTTATTAAAATTCTCAGTTTTATATCTAGGTAAGAGGGGTTGCTTAGGTTGTAATATTGTTTTGTATTTATCCACAGTAATTACACTGCTGTTAAATATACATTCAGTGATGAGTAGTGAAAAAGCAAGGTGATTTTTGTAATGTTTATATCACCAGAAGTGGAAGGTTGAGGGTTCACTTATGCATCAATATTTGTAGAATATTCACATTTAACAAAGCATGTTATTAATTAATCAAGCATTCCAATACATGATAAATGTTGGTGCATGTAGATGAATATCCTCACTTATTATTGCACTTGTATATTAAACAAACACATTGACAAGTATGTGTTTCAGGTTCTTATTTGGTGTCAGATATTCAGATTTCATGTGGATGTGTTTATAAAGCCTCTCTGAATTTAACACAGTAGAATTCTGTTCCAATTTAAATATACAATGCAAGTATAGTAATATTGATAATTTCACAGATTTTGTCCCAGACAGAAATCTTTTGAGGGCTGAATATATCAGTAGTAAACATATTGATTATGGTGGCTGTTTTTCTGATACTAAATGAGAATTAATTACACCAGGAGACATAGTAAATTGGTTGCACAATTATATTGTTGACGCACTTTTCCTCCCTATGTCACAAGCAGTGAAGAAGCCGGAGCTGGTAAAGGCGGTAAGGTTGCCTATTCGGAGATCCGGGAAGATGGTGATGGTAGCGCTCCAACTGAAGCACCTGTAGAAAAGGACAAACTAATGGGGTGTGTAAGAAAAGATTAACATTAACATCCATTAATACTAGAAGGTCAACTAATGCGTATTTGATCAAAGATTAACTTGCTCATGTACATTTTGTACTTCCACCCTCTGCTTGGATGCAGGAAAATTTCTAATTGCATTTTATTTTCTTTTCCTTTTTTTTTTTCCCATTCAAAATATACTTAATTATCTCTTTAAAAATGATATAGTTTTATTACAACTACTTTGAAAAAATGTTTTCTGCTTACTCAAGTGGCGTAGAAGATAATCCAATGTTTCAATTAAATGTAGTTGTGATATAAGTATTGCTTTCGCATTATTTAGCCTCTATCAAATTTAAATAGAAATTACGTTCTGTCATAAAAATTTGAAACTTTTCTTTAGTCTGATAACCTAATGTATTAAAAGTGGAATGTTACTACATGATTATCACCCTAATGTACTATACACATAATTGTCCACTCCCGGTTAAGTTATCACTTCATACCGAATGCTAGTTTTCTGTGTGCCATCCCGTTTGCAATGTAGAATTTTTCATTCACTTTGCATCTCTACACCCAACCCTCTCACAGATTAGACACTGAGCAAGCGCCCCAAACGGATGAAAAAACGCCCATGCTAAGCAACCAGGATAAAGCTGCCATTGTGGCAGACCCTGTACCAGCAGCTGATGGAGACGCAAAATCTGAGCCACCTGCAACTAGCCCTGCTAGTGAGACCCCTGCTGAGCCCCCATCCATTTCTACCCCAGAACAGAACGCCACAGACAAGCCTGAAACTAAAGGGTGTGTGTTAACCGCTAATAATAAGGCCAAGATACAATAAATCCTGTCCACCATTAAAAAAAAACGCATTTCCTCGGACCCCAAACTGCAATTTTATAGCTTTATACGAGTTAAGAAAAAAAAAACCTTTCGAATTACAAAGAAGTTGGCCACCATTATATCATCATCATTTGCCATATTCGTGTTATCATTTTCATTTTCAACTCATGGTTGAATCATTGTGGACAGAATTCATTGTTGATAGGCCTTCACATTTTTTTTTTTTTTATTGGAATTCTGAAATCCTGAATGCAGTTCTATGCCAATCTGTTAAAAATAATAATAATATTAGTACTTAAAAATTAATTTTTAGAAATTATGATGATTAAGATTTTTTCCATGTTCATTGGTATCTCAAAATGAAATGTCGGAAACTACACATAGATCGGTATACTGCTGCATTCTGGGTATAAACACAACTTTCCCTGCATCTCTTTGTAAAAAAAAAAATCGAATCACTTTTTCATTGGTTCCAATCATTAACAATAAAAAAAAAATAAACATTTGCAAAATTAATTGGCAATTCAGATTTAAGAAGTGTAGAGCTTGTTGTGCTTAATGTTTGACTGTTGTTTAGTAGTTATGTTTTATGTCATTTGTGACTCATTTTATCAGGTGTATGTGTCTATTGTGAGTCACAAATAGATATATTTTGCCCTCTTGCACTTGCTACAGTATTATATATTGACTGTAGACTGTTTATTAACATAATTAACATTCAGAACCTAAAAAGTAGAGCTATGACTTTACTGTTTAAATGGATAGAGGGCGTTCTCTAGTTAGATTGAATTTATATAGAGGGCGCCTTATATCCTGTATTAGCTCTGTTATAACCTAAATGTAACTTTTCAATTTGCATCTGCAACTAACATTATCCACTTACTAACCTCACTAATTGTAAACCTAATCCACTGGCAATAGAAACAGTTCACTGCATGTTTGAAATGTGGGTAACGGTGTACATTATATACTTTGCTCATGTAAGTGCATATTTTAATCCGATTATGGTTAAAGTTGTATATCTATACTTTATATTATAGTAGTTATACAGTATACTGTCCTATATAGTAGTCCATATATACTATGTATTTTTTGTTTTATTCAGTGTCCTCCAATTAATTCAAGTTAATTGCAGGTGGATTGGAATCTAAATAACAAATTGACCTAGAATTACAAGGGTTTCAACAAAGCATTTTGATCAATTCAATGATTGAACATATTTTTAAAAAATCCGCTATATGTTAATAAAATCCACTAATAACTTTTAAATTCCGATTGGGATCCTTTAATTCTGACAAACAATGCTGCCATAACCATCTTTAGGAGTTTTTTTCCCTTTTTTTTTTCTGTTCTTATTTATCTTACAATTTTATTATTTTGAAAAGTATCAGTATGTATCTTGGAATAAACATATAAAGCAATATAAAAAAGGAAAATTTCAGTAGAGACCTATGCTACTCCTTAAAGATGTATTGTCCCATGAAAAATACCAAAAAAAGATAAAAATAATTTTTGAAATTAATAAATTGTATTACCCATAATTTCACAGCGAAAAATGATAGAAACATTTCCAGTCACTGGAAGTGTTTTATTAACACTATCCAGTATAATCCGTGTACACTTTTTAAAATTCAATGTATTCTATGCTGGATTGGATTTATTTGGTGTAATCACCAATGATAACCCATAAAAGACTTATTTATAGTGGGGTCTTCTAGTGGTGATTGGGCAGTGCACCAGGCGAAAATCTAGTACTGTACTCTTTTTACGAAGAGTGTACTGCGTTCTGTATTGTGAACTTGGGGCACAACGGCTTAAACGTCTCATCTCGTCTATCTTAACTTGCATTTCAGCCCTCCAGCTAAAATACAAGGAAAGCAGTGATGGGAATTGAACCAGGGACCCAAAAGGTCTCCACGGTTCAGCTCACACACAGTGGCTACCACCAGTTTAGCCGACTGAGCTCAATTTAATAATTTGTATGTTACTGCAAAATAAGCAAGTTAATATTAGAATTATTTTAATGGCCTTTTAGGGGACCATCCATCAAACAAATTTTAAAATATTACTATTATTTCAAAGTTAGCATGCTGCATGGCTTCTGCTTTTGCAAAGTAGTAGGTTGTTGGCAAAGAGCCATGTTTACACTCAGCGATACTAACTTTACCATTTTTGTTCCTTTTTCCTCCTCGTCTCTATGACAACAGCGGGAGTGACGGAACAGCAGAGTAATTATCTTGCTTACTGTGAGTTGATGAGTATTTTTTAAAATTTTGTTCTTTAAAATCAAACGCAGCCTGCGTTTGGTTCAATATAGAGCAAGTCAAACACAGTTTGATAGGGGTATTGTTATGCCTAGGGTGTGTATATATTACTGTACTGCCCATGTTGATAAGGTGATGTCAAAATGAATCAATTCAGGTGAAAGTTCCCATTTTTTTACTAGATATAAGAGAGTCCGCTTAAGGTTTGTCCAAACTATCAAATTTTCTTAGAAAAAAAAACTATTGTATGCCCATAGTCATGATGTGCCTATATATGGTCATGATGTGATGTCATCATGACCATATTTAGGCATGTTTTTGTCAAATAAGATTGATTCCCTTATGAACGCCAATGGGTTTTTTTTTCATAAACAGAAGATTCCTTCGGAATGGTAGATAGTCTTTTATTTTTTTTTTAAGGGTTTCTTAAGGTACATTCATCTTAATCAAAATCACAATTCTGATTGGGTGTTGTTATATGTATGGATTTGATTAGGACACAGCATCCAAATCAGAATTAGGAATTTGTTTAAGACTGGCGTAACAAATAACCCACTGCCTTTACTTAACCCTTCAAAAATGTTTTGTTGTACTGTATGTTGAAAGGGATTTAGATTTACTTGGATTTATTCGGTGTAAACACCAAGAATAGCCCACGAAAGTCTAGAAGAAGACTTATTTCCAGTGGGCTCCTTCTGGTGGTGATTGGGCAGTACCCCGGGAGACAATCCCCTACTCTTTTCCGAAGAGTGTACTGCGTTCTTTAACATGCACATGGGCCATAAATGTACACAGGACCAACGGCTTAAACGCCTCATCCAAAAGATGGTGCGCTATAATTGTAACTTGTATTTCAGCCCTCTAGCTGAAACACAAGGAGAGGCAGCGATGGGAATTGAACCGGGGACCTAGAGATCTCCAAGGTTCAGGGCACACAGCGGCTACCACCAGATTAGCTGACTGAACTAAGCTGCTCTCTCTTTTCCCACCTGGATTGATCTTTTTGACATCTGATATTTACGCTGCATTTGGTATTTGTGTGTAAATATGATTTTATATATAAAATATATATTACAAAACATGATTGTGTGGGCTTCGGATTTGACTCAAACGCATGGTTTGTGTGTGTGCACCATACTTCATTACATTATCCTTCTGCTTATATCTTCTCTTTTCTCTCAACTTTTACTATCTTCCTCTGTAATATTATATTATTCTCTTTAATCTTTTTCTTTTTACAATAACGTAGTTACTGTGTAGGAGAAAAAAGTGAATGTGGGACACATAGCAGTCAAACTTATTGTATATTCGTAGTTGTGTAGGCACAAACTAAGTATTGTAATTCTACTATAGTCATGCTACAATGATGTTCACAGATTCTCTGAAACTTTATCCACACTATCAAATTTTATGACAAATACCCATGATTTGCTCATGAATATATTTCCATTTATATATATGTATGTATATATATATATGACATGTTCATATATGACATGTTCATATATGCATATGATATGACATGTCCATATATGGATATGTTACTACGTCATTAAAAAAAATTGTGTGTGTAATATTTCTTTGGTTATTCTTTTGATCTATTTTCTGTTAATGCTGTTTGTATCATTAGCATATAGTTTGTGCGTCATGCTATGAATGACCTATTAGTTTTGAAAATCCAGTACTGTATTATATTATGTAATATTCCGTTAATTTTGATAGGTTGTGTATTTCGAATAAATATGATACTACAGTAAGTTTGCTAGTATCTTCAGATCTTGATGCATGGTTGGGAAATTTAAGATGTTGTATACTGTTTGTATTGTTAGTAACAAAATACAACTTTTTATTTTAGCATAAAGTCTTCAGTTGTGTTTTTTTGGGTTTTTTTATGTACTGTATATATAAAATGAGATAATTTTATGTATTTCTATGAATGTCACTGCACTGATAATGATGTGATATCCTAATATATAATATTCAAATAAATGACCCCTTAAATAAACAACTCCCTCGATTAATCGCCTCAGGGCATTTATTTTTTCCCTGAATACTAACCTAGCCTAGTATTCCCAAATTTTCAATATTGCCTTCAACAGTAACACATTTTCACAGTAAAATTGTGCTGTAGTTCACATTTACAGTGAAATTAAGTGGTGTTTGAGTATACACATGTATCTGTTTTACACCCAAAAAAATTAATGCCTCTCATTGAATAAATGCCCTATTTGAATAATTATGGTACAGTATCTCAATTGTTTATTCTTTTAATGTTTTTTTTTTTTTTTTTTTTTTTTTCTAACATAAACTATTTTTTTTTTTTTTTTTTTGCTAACCTAACCTACAGTACTCTATTCCCAAATTTTCAATATTCCCTTCAATTTTTGCTTGACCTTGTGATTTCAAACACTTGGATATCATGATGAACCACTACCATTATGTGTTGCTATTTCATCCATTGTTTGATCTCACTGTTTATTTCGTGTCTTCCTAGTTATGATGAAACAGTTTTGGCGAGACTCATTTTTACCTTGTTAGCGAATTGAGTGCACCTCACTTGATATCATATGTGGTGTGGCGATGTAAGCTTCATACCTACTTCAGAAGCAAAAAATTAATGTATATATCAGGATATTCAATGGCAGTGCACAATTTTGCACAGCAGCATGTGTACTTACTGGCCAAGAAATCATCAATGGGCAGTTAGTTTTGCGAAACGAGGACTAAGTCTTGCCTAAGTTGTATTATCATTTTTTTGTTTTAGCTTATACAGTAATGTATACACTGCTGTTTTATGAGCTTTAAATTTATAAAACCTCCAAGGGTAGAACACTTTCACATTAATATACTTAATCCGTAATATTTATAATTATTAGCTTATAAAATTATTTTTGATGATTTGATAACCAATTAAACAACTTATTTTGTTGTTGCAGTGAGCTTGCTGATCCTGAGTATGTTGACTATTGATGAGAACAAAACTAGGAAGCTCTACAATCGTCTTTACTATCACTTTACAAGGAAGAACATTTCTAAATTATTGGAAAAATGATCGTGCAAGATTCTACGTAAAGAAATTTTTTTCCTTAAAAATTGAATGATTGATACATTACTATGAAATATTTATCAAAAGTTGTTTGTCAGCTGACCTGTGATTGGACAATGGCAATTAGTTAGAATCATAATCTTTTGAATTTCAACCAATCACGAGTACCGGATCAGTCACATGACGAGGTGTTCTTTCCCCTAGTGTTTTGCTCTTGCTAATGGTATCATGTGTTACAATATGGATCTTTTTCTATAAAAATGTTTAATGCATATATTTCCCCTTTAAAATTAGTTACCTTTTAAATTTAGGTTTTAAGGGGATCATAAATTGTTGTTTTGGAAAAAAAAAATCCTTAAATAATTGATAGAATTTCACAATTATTTTGATCAAAATGGATTTAAATTTGCTTGATTTTTGTGAATTGTATAAAGATACAGATGAGTGTGCCAAGTTTTTATGATGACCTTTCAACTGTTTGTCGTTACATTATTTGAAAGTCTTTTGATTTTTACATCAATTTAAATGTCAAACGAGATAAATCAGAAAATTTCTCCTGGAGATAATGTAGACATAGGATCAGTTAGGATGTTTTTCTTATATTGTTTTCAAGTGCAAGTATGTAAGATTAAATGAATGAAAAGAGAATGAGGACGACTATGTGAGTTGCAGCAGGTTAACTCGCAGATCCGGTACTACTATGTATGCTATGCATATAGCACAATATACAATATGTATACGTATCATACATATGTCCTTATAAAGAGCAAAATATAAAAAAAATCGTCTGAAATATTCAGTTCATATATACTATGTACAGTTCATATATGGAGTACTATATGAATGTTGCTGAAGAAACCCATGTTGATTGTGTCAACTGGATCGGCACTACCATCGTTCTGCACGTTAACTTCCTCTATGAAATTCAAAATTTTTGCATAAAATGCAAGTGGGAAAAAAAACAAAAATTTGTTTCCATGGAAACCTGCTGCATGTTTGGAATGATGCAAAATAAACATAAGATGTCAGTGGAACTTAGTTTTTGCTACGCCTCTTTTTTCCTTTACCCTTTACCCTGTATCACTTCACGCAGGTTGAACTTTTAGGTTTAGTTTAATCGCATCAAATGTGTTCAGGAGTTTGTACATACTACAGAATACCATATGAGCCAGGTATAGTCTGTTTAGATGATTGTCAGTCCCATTTACTAATATGATGTATAAATTTAGCAATAGGTTACAGCATGCAGCGCCCTCTTATGTCAAACGATTCTCACAAATCATTTACTTACCACAGAACAGCTATATCACTGCAATACGTAATGACCCGAGCATTTTATTGTTGGTTGTGGTCTCTGAGCAAGTGGTATCAAATGAAAAATGTTAATGGACAATATTTGGACATAACATTAGTATGTCTACCAAGTGGAGACTTCTCGTGCATTTTGACTGTACATAACTCATATTCTGTGGACATTTAAATGTGTTGCCTGTGATGATAGAATTGAGTTTTAATTCTCTATGGGCCTATCGAACTTGTTTATATACATGGCCCCACCTTAAAGACAATAAATGATCAGTTTGTGTAAAGGTGGCTACATAATATGCTATTTTTATCAACAGGAAATATAAAATATACAGCATTACAATGCATTATATAGGTCCTATTTATCCACTAGACTCGTGTATGTATTTCTAATATTGAACATGTAGAATAGTTATTTTCAAGAATGGTTTATGGTAACTATATTCTCATATTGTCTGTCTGTCAAAAAGAAAAATGTAGAAATGAATGAAAAAAAAAATGAAGTTTTGTGTAGTTAACAAATTTGTAGCATAGATTATTTAATTATTATTATTATTATTATAAAAAATACCAAAGCCAATGTTAGCACTTGTGGAATTTCGTTTTTTTTGTTTCAAAGGCAACAATGACTAAGCCAATACCAATACTGAAGATTGTGTCAAAGTTTGAAGAAGTTATTTTGCATTTTTTAATTTGTTTACTGGTATTTCTAGGTTGTGTTGTCCTTATAGATGTGTATGTTTTGATATGGGAGGGCTTGAAAGATCCATAATTATTATATTAATGATCATAGATTAATTATTATAGCTTGATTATTGCAATCACTCGATAATGCTGATTATAATTATTGAGTATAATTATTATTGAGTTTATTATGGTAGTAGCCCTGCATGGTAATACATTGTCTATATTATACTGTAAGGATTAAATTTATCGTACTAGTGATGGGAATTATCCCTTGATAGGTATGATAAATTGTATACGATTTCTGTAAATCTGATGTTTAAAGTAAAGTCGATGACGTGTTATAATTGTTTGATAGCAAGTAGAAATTCTTTTTTGTATTGGCTTTAATTTGTTGACAGCCAACTGTTAAAACTTATAATCGTTTCTTTATGCAGTCGTATAATCGATCTGCAATCAGAAAAGTAAGGTATTGATGCACTTGTGTGTTTTTTCTGTTGCAGTTTTTTTTTGTTGTTGTTAAAAGTTCAATCAAAAGTAAACAATTTAATTTGATCCTTAAAATGCACTTGGAAGATCTAGCAACTTGTACAAAACTCAGCACTTTTCATGTGCACCATTTTTACTGGAAATTTTTGAAGGAAGTGGATTTTGTAACATTTAAAAAAAAAAAACATAAAACTGTAAACTAGAGCTTGGGTACGGGTATTTTTCTGGAAGCGATTTTGACTGGTTTTTGCAAATTATGCTACTATTTCGGATAACAGGAAGGATAGCAGTTGAATGAAATTGAACAAATTGAAAAGAAATTTTAAAAGCCATGCATTTCCCCCAAAATGTATGGATCAAATTACAGGGCCTCACCATCGTGATGGAAAATGAAAATTGGCCAGAGGGTGTTTTTTTAAGGCCCAAGTTACTAATGTAAAGAAAAGCATTGGTTAAACAACATGCCAAGCCATCTACAGTAGTTTTTAAGCAGATGCCTCATGATTAAAGGTGCATTACCTCAAAGTAATACTCGGATGAGATTGTGAGACAATCCAATGTGTTTTAAAGTAGGTTACATCATGTCCATACATTTCAATACTGACGTTTAGATAGGGGTTTAATTTCATTGTTGAATTGTAATATTTCAATCTTGGTAACGAGGCAATTTTCAATCCTTGAGAACTTGTCTAGTGTGTAATAAAGTAGTTGTGATTTTAGTGAAAACTTGCATATGTCTACTTCTTTCTTTGTTGTGAGTTTTTAACATCCATTACATGTGAAAATTGAGTCTGAATTAGGAGTCGTTCACAATTATCAGCATTTTCACAAGTGTACAAACAGTACCATGGGGGAAGGTGTAGACAAATTTGTACACTTTACATAGGCTAACCTTTACAAACATTGATTCAAAATACTGTAATATTTAATAGATTTTTATGAGCAACTAAAATGTAACCAGGGATTAAGGCATTTTTATGCAACCAAATACAGTACACAAAAAAATAATGCACAAAAAATAATGTAGAATGATCTGTCAAAATTACAATAGATCATTACAAGGTGAATTTTTGAGGCGTTTTCCAGATTTCACCATGGAGAAAGTATCACACGCACGCACTGATAACAGATCCCTTTCTGCTCTGTGTGAACAATCAACAATGTAGTGGCAATGTACGCCATGATTTCTATGGAATCGCACTCATGACTGACGTAATATACAACAAGATTATCTATACTGAAAATATCTTCAATAGATATTATCCCCATATCCAGGTAAATATTGTACCAGCTCAATTGAGTCCTCAATCCAATGTTGTAAGGCCAGGCACTCGCTGTGTTTGTTTGTGTTTGTGTTTGTTGGTGGCAGTCTGAACGGGTCGTCGTTACGAGTGCACGGCTTAACAATATGACATCGCCCAACTTACTGAGCAGAATGTGTGGAAAAAAAGAAAAATCTAGGACAGACGAGGGGTCCGTTCCATTAGTAGAGACTGAAGGAGCCTTGGGCTCTTTGTTACGTCACTGCCTCCATATTATGGAATGTTCTAATACAGTACTGTTGGACATTTCAGGGGTCCAAAGTCTCCCAGAAGTCACGGAAGCAAATAACCCAGCTGCAAATTTAGAATGTAAACAAGCCGAAAATTAAATGCGACTAAAAACTTGACCTGTTGATTGAACCTTTATTAAAATTTCATGGTTTGTAAACTCTGTTAAAATTACAGAAAAAAATTGCTGCTGAATGTAACATCACAGACAAAATATAGGCCTATATATATATATAAAAAAAAATCAATGCTATAAACAGATCATTGGAAATGTTTAGGTTTTGAAGTGATGTCCATTGTGCAATTAGGATACAATATCATTAACTTCATCCTGTTCAATAGTTGAAACAGAACTAAAAATTAAACCATAAAAATGTAGTTCATTCAAATTTAAAAAGTTAATATCCATGATTTTAAGCTCCGTTCACGCAAAACAGAAAGAGTCTTATACAGTTAAACTTGCCTAAATATAATAATTTCATATTTTACATGTCAAATTGTTGTGTTTTCCATTATTTAACGATCTGTAATTCAATTTAATCCAAGTCTAACAATTTTGCCAATGCCATTTTGGATTTGACTTCGGCAAGTCAAACTGGTATGTCCATATTATTGACAAATAAAATTGTTTTGTAAAACTTAATACTGTAGTACAGTATAAACAGAGCTTTAAAAAAGCATTATACATTCTAGTAAATATATGGCCTGTAGAATAATTGTCTTTAATGTCCTAAAATAAAAAAGCTTAAGAAAGCCAATCCAAGCATAAAACTGTACATTTAAAGCTTGTTCCAGTAAAATATGTCTTACTTTAAAATTCTAGGCAAGGATTTAACATTTCATGTTCATTTCAACTTCAATGACAAATCAGAAGAAATCTACAGCAGTGCTGCGACGCTTCTTAAATGCGAGTTTGGCCTTTGGTGCCGATGTTGGCGTCTTCTTGAGGACCGAGTGGGCAGGTTTCTTGGTGCTATCAAATGGAATACCTGGGCTGCACAAAATTTGTTTACGATAATCAGATTGTTCTGGAAAAGGAAAATAGAATGTTTCTTTTTATTCATCATTTTTATTGATATCTACATTATACAAATAAATGTAAAGACATTGTTTACAGAATCACTATAAGTAACTTCTTCCTCTTTCTGGGAGGTTCCACATTTTCCTAGTTATCAATGTGGTATTGTGGTATGTGGTACTATCAACATTTTAAAATAAAGGTCAGCCAGTCAAGATATATTTTTGTTGACCACAGGTCCTAGTTGAATTCTAGGGTTCCAAACATCGCTCACCCCATGAATTTTGGTAAATAAATTGGTAACACATAAAGGTTGAGGTGTATCAAATTTAATAATAATTATTTTGTGAGTGCCTTCAAAATTTTTCCACATTTACGTTACTCCTAAGCAAGCAAAAGTGAAACATCTTGCCCGAGGACACATTTTGTCTTGATCGATTCTGAAAAACCTGTACTGTATTGGATTAGGACAAAAACATCGAATCAGAATTAGGAATTGGTTTAAGACTGGTGTAACAAAAGCCACGACCAATAACTTAATGCTGCACTATACCACACACACATACATGAATAATATAACTGAAGTTAATGATGTGCCCTAGTGGACAAAAAAAAACTGAAACCCTAATCATATTCAAACATCAAACAATCCTTACTGTAATTGGTGTTCTTTGAAAGAGTAATCTTGACATGTTTCTTCGTCGCTGCTGGAGCTGAACCAGGCGCCATCAACTTAGATTTCTGTTGAAAAAATTAATTTAGTTTTGTTATTAAAAAGTGATAAAAAATATATTTAAAGTTAAAATATTACATGCTTTTAGCAAGATTAAAATTTTATGGCTTGTTTAGCATTTTGGTATTAGGTTTCTTGGTCACTATCATATATTCTTTAGATTTTTTTAAATATTTTGTTTCATTTAACCAAAGAAATGTAGTCTCATGTCTGGAGATTTGAATATTAGGCTGTTCTCTAGATTCACTTGTTGAACCCAATGATGCATTTATTATATAATTGTATTAGTGTAAGTTGTAGGTGAATATAAATTTAAATGAAAACCATTCCTAACCTTTACTTTTTTGCGTATTTCTGTTTGGGGTTCCCTACGCTTCTTTAGAACAACAGCAGGGGGTGTAGACACAGTCTGGAATGCTGCAAATGGCTCTTCCATCTGCTGCACTAGTGCTGTTTCAGATTTCCGTTTGGTTGTTTTCTTTGCTTTTTTCTTCTGCGTTTTTATATTCTCTAAGCTGTTAGCTTCTGAATTATTAGATTCCACTTGTGTTTCCATTACAGTTCTCTTTAAGTTTACTTCCTGTTCTTCCCCGAGATTCCCAACTTCTGTCTGTTGCTCTATGCCCGACTCAGATTTTCGCTTACTCGTTTTTGTTTTTTTCTTCTGCATCTTTAAATTCTGTAAGCTGTTATCATCTAAATGATTGAATTCTGAGTCTCCTTTTTCCATTACAGTTGTCTCTCCATTTGTTTCCTGTTCTTCCCCACATTTTTTGTTTTTCTTCACTTTTTTCTTATTGTCCGTATCTGTATCAATAATTACAATTTCAACGTTGTTGGTATCATGAGTGGTTACTTTTAACTTCTCACTCTTTTTCAATTTTTTCGATTTCTTACTCATTGTTGATGCATCTACTAAGCTTACAATTTCTTTTGAGCTGCAGTCTTGTATTTCATCTTCCATTTTACTTCCTTTCTTCTTTTTCTTTTTTGTTTTCCTATGGATATCTCCATTCACTGTTCTCTCATATGCATCTTGATTGGTTACTGCAACTCCTTCCTTTTCTTTTTTGGTTGGTTTTTCACTGTTTATTTTAGCATCATTCTTTTCTTCCTCTCTCTCCATTTCTCTCCTTATTTTAGCTTCCTGCATTTTTTTCTTCTGTTTTTTCTTGTGCTTTAATTTGACATCATCCACAATTTCATCATCGGAGGACAGCTGAGTTAATTCCTCTAGGTCTGGTATGGGATAAATTCCTTTGGCAAGATCTTGAAACCTAAAACAACAATAAAAAAAAAACAAAAAAAAAAACACTTTAGTTTGATGGACCTTTCTGCTAAGCCCCGCCCCTTGGATATTGTTGCTAAGGTTACACAAATGACGGTGTAAAAGCATATTCATGGCCCTGTTCTGATTGGTCAATATGAAGTTTGATTGACACTCCGGAAAGCAGGGGTCAGGAGCCTCCCAGAAATCGGGCCTCCCGCACGCAAGCAAGAATCTCTCGGAAATAACCCATACCCGCAAAAATTCATATTTGCATGTTTTCATTCCTTTTTAATCAATTTGCTCACGGAAGACAGTGCCGATGGGTATCACAATGTGCAGCAAAATCAAATTAAATATTATGAAAGCTCATTAAACAGATCAGTGGCGGATTCAAGAGGGAAGCTTACGCCCCCACCCCCCCACTAAATTTTTCAAAATTATAAAGTAAGATCATAGGAAATAAATTCATTCTGGATTCAGTAAAACATTTGTGAATTTTCTTTCCTTTAGTTATAAAAAATTGACACTGGATTAACTAAAGGAAAGAAAATTCACAAAATATAAAAAAAGAAATGGAGAAAAAATAAAATCATATTTAAAAGTCTGAGAGTGCCATTTCCAATCATCTTGAGGTGCCATAATCATAAATGTTCTTACCAATGGTTGGGGCTGAGGTGGTATAGACCCTACATCTGCGAAAGCTTTTCTCTGCCCTCCCAAATCCATCCCCCCACCCCACCCCTCCAACTATTTCAAATTCTTGGATCCGCCACTGAAGATATCCCGGAATTGCTTTTTGCCAAAGTGGGACCCCTGGGAAAGTTCCATTGTGAAACTTAGGAAGCCTTTTTAGTCTTGTGAAGCAATCTTTGTCTCATAGGATTTAAACCCAGGACCTTGTAATTTGAAGGCCTGTATCTGAACCACCAAGCTATAACTCCACTCACTGTAGAATTGTGTTAGTGGTTAAGGGTGGGAGGAATCTGGGTGGGGTAGGTTGTGGTTGGGTGTTCCAATACATGCTTGCAATACAATGTTTTCCCTGGTAATATACTATACTGAAACCAGCCATATAATGCTTACTTTTGGGCCATGCCGTACATTTTCTTCCTATTCAAACCAGGTGTATCCTTCTGACTTCCTAACATAAACAGCCTGTCTGCTACGGCACTGTAATCAAACTGAAGAAAACAAGAAACAACTTTTCATCATTAGTTCTCACTAAGTAATTAAAATACATAGTTTTAATTTTTAAATACAGCACCATGTGCATCACATATGGGGTTTGCCAGCATCAGAGACCAAAAAAAAAAATGACTTTTTAATATTCAAATTCTCCACATTAAATCCTTTAAAATCTTATGAGTAAAAGTATTACAGCTTCTCTGTACTAACACATTTTTATGCTTATTAATCAGTTTAACAAGCATCATATGGCAGATACCAGTGCTATGTAAATGATCTTTTATTATTTTTATTAACATAATTAACTAACTAATTTCACTATGTAAATTGCTTGACCTACTTGACCTTTCATTTATTTTCAATTATTTTAAAACATTTGCCTACAGTGCAACATTTTTCATAAAGAAGAAAAAGATTTTATTTTTAATCTATAATCATGTATTATTGACAAATAATTAGATTACACACAAATCAGGTTAACAATTGAGATTATATATTCTACAACTTACAGCCAGTCTAGGGTCTTCCTCCTCGCTTTCATCTTCTTCGTCATCATCTTCCTCATTGTTTTCTTTCTTCTTTTTCTTTGCCATCTTTTTCTCTGCTTCTAAAACTTCCTCCATTCCCACAGTTGACTGTACCATGATGTCCTCAAAAATTTCACGCAGAATTGTCTTCATCAGCGATTTACTACATTCACAAAAAATTAACACCAATACTTTAAATATTAAACAAGGTAAAGAAGTGAGTGATTTAGAAATCTTAGCTAGGCCTAAGGACTTTTCACAGCCACAGTGCAATGTCTCCCTGGAAGAAAATTTACTGCTCCTTTTCAAAGAGTGTACTGCATTCTTTAACAACATACTCTGGATCTGTTATTTATTTTGAAAGATCATGATTAGCGTTAAGCTATTCAAATTTTTCAATTTTTTTTTCAATGTGTTCAATGCATTTTAGGTGAGAATTTTTTATTCCTTGTTTCACAAACTTATTTTTTTTTAAGATTATCAGAGGGCAGAAAAAGAAAATCAAAATAAAGTTTTGTTGTCTTATTTAGCAAATAGTTTGCCAAAAACATCCAGACAGAGGAGAAAATAAAAATAAAATTTGATTGGTAAATGTAAACAGTGTAGTAATGGGATGGTTAAATGCTTTAAAGTTATATATTTAGCAAGAAATATACATATATCTTTTCTTTGGAGATTTGAAGGCAGCGGAGGGCCTAATAAAAATAAAGAAAAATTTGTATATTTTTTTTGTAAATTTCCATTTTTTGTGGTGGTTGGTACGATAATTGGCCAAAAATGAACTTTTACTTTTATTCAAAATCATCATTATTTTTAAGCGGAGGGTTTGCTAAACAAGGTATAAAAAAAGTCTTGCCTTACAAAATAAATTTCTGGGCTTTTCTGATCATAAATATTTAAAAGCCGTAGAAAACTATTGTGGAAGAGCGAGTAAACGTGTTGACCTCTTTCTTGGCGCGTAGTAATTGCACCGTGAAGTATTGCATCCAGGTACTTAATTAAGCTGTCTGAATGTTACGTAATACTGTATGCGCGTAATGATATTGTTTGTCTGGGTATTTATAGTGGTCTTCACGTGGTTACTGGCTGTTGAACACTTCCATTGTTACTGTACGGTTTGTGGGCTGAGCAACATAAGCTTATTGAATAAGTTTACAGGTATGTTAATGAATCATTGTCATATTGATCATTGTATTTTGCTAATAGTAACTCTATATCGACCTTGTGATATCTGATTGATAATGTGAATGATTTGTAATATGGATTCGAGTATGGTAGCCTAATGTATTAGGTAGTATTTCTAGAGGTTGTCAGAAAGGTATTAATGGTGTGATGGCATAGGTATGCATGCCATAGAGGTACAGCTGCATGAAAGCTGTATGAGTATATTTTTGGTCTTATTTATCTTTACATTATTAATATAATTCCTTCCTAGATTACTATAATGGATGTGTAGCGATGGTTGTGTTCCTCCAAAGCTAGTTTTTTTGTTTAAATCCAGGTATACACGCACTTGTTTATCTAAGTATTGATGTAGTGATGGTTGGGTAATATTGTAATGATTAGAGATGTAATCGTATCATGTAGTAATGATGTACATGAGTATATTGATGTGAAAATATGATACAATAATGATGTATAGATATTAACTGTAATCTTGATGTTTACAGGGGTTTTTCTTATATGGACTCAATGTACACATTGACATTGATTTGAATCTAACATTTGACGATTAAAAGAACCTGGTAACCTGCATGGAAGTCGCTGTCTTCTTCCTTGTTTGTGAGCTTAAAACTACCACACCATGATAGACAAAAATCATGAAATTTAGAAATTGTAAAATGAATGTGTTTACAGTACTTCTTGCACTGTGCATTGTACATACAATTCAGCTGTAAAAGTGATTGAAAAAAACTCTCTTACACAATAAAAAGCTTTGACACATAAATAACATAATATTGTGCACCATTGGTAGTAAGTATAGATTATAATTTTAAAATACATTTTAGTATACTTACTTTTTGCTCTGAGCTACAAAAATGCAGAATGGATCTATGAATATCAGAGTTTCTTGAGGCGACAGCTGTTGGAAAACAATAAAGTGATTCAAATCTTGTCAAATCAGAGAATAAGATAAGCAAAATAATAGTTAACCTTTAACCTACAAGCCCACTCTACCTGGTGAAGATTGACCTTTTTTTTTTTCAGTCAGATATTTTCTATGTTAAAGTAATAAACTTGAAATAAATAAGGTAAAGTAAAGGTCGAAATTAAAGCTCTGGGCTGGAGTGCCCATCCCTCTTTTCTTGTGCATGGCTATGGGGGAAGGGGGGGGGGTTGCCAATCCTCCTCCACAGCAGTCTGTTTTACCTTCACAGCATATGATGGTGCCCATCTATACTCCTGGGTAGAGATACATATATATAAAGTGTCTTGCCTAAGGACACAAGCAACTTGTACAATGAGGCTTTCTAACCCCCGACCTCAAGGTAGAGAGTCCAAGCCACAACCGTTGGACCAACCGTTTCTACATTTAAATAAGTAAATATTAATAAAACTTGCTGTTGTATATTGCTAAGTACGCAATTAATTACATCCTGTGTTGTGTGGGATAATATAAAATTAAAACACCTCTAATGTACCTACCTGGGTAGCTCCAACACGTGTGAGTTCGTCAAGATAAATATCTGTTATATGATGCAGGAGGCCTGTAGCTTTAGTTGGTTTAGCTGCATTCAATGGACCCTGCTTCAGGATCTCCAGAAATGCTCCGACACTCTCACCATTCCACTGGTTCTCCTTAAGGAACTCCAGTTGCTCACAGAACATGCGTCTTATGAACTGCAAGACATCAATGGTCAGAAACAGGTTGCAGAGAACAGAAATCAAATTAAACAAAATTAGTGTTACATTCAATTAAACAAAAGTAAATTCCACAAATGCCTTTATGTTTTAAATATATAAAATAAATATCATTTTTATATACAGTAAGGAATTAATTACTTTAAAACTGATGGGATGTGATTCAACTAACCATATAGTACTTGTCCATTCTAAGACGATCTATGCCATGCCACTCTCTTTCCATGGTCTGCAGGAATGACTTAAAGTACATCAATGCTACAGAAATCAAGGATTAAGGGAGCTGATGTAATTATTAACATTGTTTTTATGTACTATGTAGGTTTCTCATGCATTTGAAAATTAAAGTAGTATACAAAAAAGTCCTTTGGTAACTTATTGGACTTACAAAGTATAACTGAATGCTGTTGGAGACCAGTAGATATTTACTGAACAGCTCAGTATATAAAAAAAAACTAAACCAAATGATAATAATAATAATAATGCATTATGCTGAGACATTTTTCCCCATTGAAAAAAAAGTAAATGATGTTGATGCTGATACAGCAAGTTCACTTGAATGCTAAAATAAAAGAATTTTCATTGTTTTGGTTTTTACAATAAAAACATACTTGTAGTTGACAAGCTTAAATCTTAAAATACATTCTGTGAAAGAATAAATTTGTTTACCAGATTCTGTAGTGTGCAGTTTATGTACCAGTTTAGCAATGTTATCTGCTAGCTCTTCCTGGACTAGTGGCTTGTCACACATCCACATGCAATAATATAAACCCTTCCACAACTTCAACAAGTCTTCTTCTGTAAAAACATCTACAGATCAAAGGTATACATACGTTCATCTTTAAAATAATCCTCAACACTAACAACAGGAATGACTTACAAGTACTGAAACATTCTCCCCTTTTTGTCTGAGCTGGTCTGAGGTACAGTAATTTCAGGTCTCATAAAAATTAGAACTATGAACCTCGTTTCCCATGTGACTGACCCATCACAAGGGCCTAGTAGGGCCGCAGGCCTAACCTAAGGCTACTGCACTGGCCTAGTTTAGGGCTTGATACAAATGTCACAGGGAACAGAGGCAGGGGTTAGCGAGGGCTAGGAGCCGAGGGGGTCCTGCAATCAATGCAATAGGCCTATGCTAGGCCTATCTTTATTATTATATTATTATTATTATTATTATTATTATTATTATTATTTAATAATAATAATAATAATAATAATTAATAATAATAATAATTTATTATTATTATTAATATTATTATTATTATTATTATTATTACTACTACTAAGAATCTATCGAAAACGGAGTGATGTTCTAAAGAGTGTACGAACATGTTCAGTGCAACCATCAAACTGAACAATAATAACTCAGAAAGAGGTCAAAGCTATCTAGGCCTAACGGCATCTTCTATATACGGTTCACCGGCAAACGAAGTCCACACGCGGCACGGCAACAGCATTAGAATGACGGGTCTATCGTCATGCTAGGGCTTACGTGATATGATGGATACTTACGATTTCCACTCTTCGATCGAACCGACATCCATAACCGAAGCTTCTTAATAGTTTTGTCTCTTATAGTTTTTTCATTACTGGCTAATCTTTGGGCAAAATGCACTTCTACGGTCACTTTTGGCCCAGACATCTTCAACATCCAGGTTCTCTATCCTCCTAGTTCCATCCACGTGTTGTTGACAATTTGAAACGTGTGATACCGCCATCATTAGTTGAGAAGAAAACGCTGTTTTATACCATACTCTCATCATACAGCAGGTACTATGTTCTGTCTCAAAACGTTCAAATTTACATTAATGAAAACAATTAGATTCACACATAATATAGGAGTAATTTTTTAATTTTTTTTTTATAATTTAAGATGACAGCAGAGGTATCTAAAGCGGTTATGTGAACCTAAAATTTGCCACAAATCGAATATCGCCTTGGTCCGAGTCCCCTATCCCCTTTTCCGGGACCACTTTTAACATATTTTGAGCGACAGGCACAATTCGGGCCACCCGAGCATATGTTTCCCCCTAAAATGTTTCCTTCCCCTCCCCCCCCCCCCCCCCCGCCACTGTAGGTAAGTTTTGTTTATTCTTTTATCATGTTTAACATCAATAATTTTATGTCCTACTCCTATTTGGAAAATTAATATGAAAAATTCTTATTATTCTGAATATACACTTTCAATACATAGTACTGGTTTCCAAAGTCACTCAGTTCTTAACTACAAAATTTTAAAAGCAGATATATACATATGGTAACCAAAAAAGATGGATAACTTAACTACAAATTAAAATAGATTTAAAAGGAACATTGAAAGAAACTTAAGGAAAATAAAACATTTAAATAATAAATATGGATATGCAAGGTAAGAGAAAATCAGGTTAAAATTAAGATGGTATTATTGAGGATTTGAAATAGAATGCTTAAAATTTGAAAGTGTCATAGATTTAAACTTGGTTTTAGTATGATCCGGGAGTTTATTCCATAATTTAGTAGATCGGTATACAAAAGTTTTTTTGGGGCTTGCATAATAAGTTCGTCAGTTATCTCATCAATGAGGGCAGTATTACAGGTGTAAATTAGCCGAATACCGTAAATTTTCATGTTGTATTACGGTACGATTCCATTTTTTTTTTTATATACCGTATATTTTCGAAAAAACGCCCCGGCTTTGAATCCCCATGAATATACGCCCCTACGCCCCGCTGGGCCTCATTTGGAATAAACGCCTCCCTCGAATAAACGCCGAGAGGCGTTAATGTTTTTTTCTTTTTTTTTCTCGAATAATTACTGTAAACCAATCATGAAGCACTAGGGGTGGCGCAGAAATTTGTCGACAGGGGTAGTACGTGTCCCGGACGGAGGGGTCCGAACCAAGGCGACGACGAAGCCTCGGTCAACGGCCCGGAATTTGAAAAAATAAATATTCATGGGGAAGACTTTTTATGGAATTAATTTGGTCCTGAATGTGCTTTTAGACCACAATATTAGGGATTGGCAATCAAAATAGCGTTTGGATAGGAAAATACTATCTTTTTCAAATTTTTGGTCCGACGACCTAGTCGTCGTTGGAAGACAGGGGGTCCAGGCCTGTCCGCACGGGTGGGAAAATGTGCACCTCTGCCCCGGGAAAATTCCCCTCCCCTCCACCCGCTGGCGCCACCACTCGAACAATCCGGGCCACTTCTCAACAATTTCTATTAAAGTTCCACTACAATTTTCTGACTTAATTTGGACCAATAAGCCTTTATGATCACACAATAATACATTTTGACGGTAGTAGATTTTGTAGTTCTACATTTATAGTGAAATTTAAGGCCTGAACGGCGAAGGGGCGTTTATTAATGATATGATGATCTTTATGAGAACCAAGTTATTTTAATCTTTGTTTCAACTCATTCATAACATTTTGCTTGATACTTGATTATTGATGTCGCTTATACGTGTATCTTATATTAAGTATACATTAATATTATTTCAATAGAACTGTTAGCATTCTGAATTCTTCAAATCGAAATCGAAGCATTTAACTTGCTTTGCTTGAAGCTTGAAGTTTGAAATTGAAATTGTTTGTTTCGTTGGTTGTAATCAACGTCTGGATGTGTTAGCCTATATTGTAATTGATTGGTTCAATGATCTCTAAGCTTGATGTTAGGTATGCAAAATTAACTTTCGGGCTGATTCGGATCCAAAAACGACCCTTCTAGAGCCATCTCAAACAGCTTGTTTACTAGTAATTTCACGTCGAAGTAGCTTTATAGACATATAGAGGTAAGTGAGTTCAATGCTTGTTTAATATAATTCATTTATGCAGTAAATATTAGTAGTGTGGAGCATAGGCCCAATGCCTGATTAATTCTCGTAAATGTTCGGAGCGGAGATAAAGCCTCTCAGCGAGGGTGCGTTTGCGGTCAAAATTTTAATATGCAAAAATGGCGGATGGACTGGCCCAGAGCATGGAAGAAAGAACAGGTAGATTTGCTTTTACATATTCATAATTTGTATTTTAGCATAATTCATTAGGGTTTTAAAAACTGGCGAGTGATGCTTCATTGACCGGTTGTAATTGTTTTCAATCAGGTTTTAACTATTGTTTGTACCTAAATATTGTGACTTTTGAAGAGAGTATTTGCTCTCTTGGGATCGGCTGTAAGAAGAAACCAGAAAAATAACCCTGTTCTGTAGGTTTTCGTTTCGCAGAGGAAAACTGAAATGAAAACATGACAAAAACAAAGCGAAAGATTTACTGCAGCCGGTTTGCGTTCAATATAAACATAGACCTGCATCGATTAGGCCTATCTATGTTGCAAGTTTATGAAACTAGATTTTGTTGAATTATTGAGCCTTGAATTTTTTCTTGAATTAAAATTTTGTGAAATTTGTAGTACATTCCAAAAGTGTTTACGTGATACAGGTGTGCTAAGCCTAGTCTAGGTAGGGTAGGATTTAGAAAGGATAGGCCTAGGCCTAGCCTAGGCAAAATAAATTGAGGATCCAGTATCTGGGCGGACAGAGTTGGATAGGGCTTAAATACAATTGTGCAGCAGGAAATCTATCCATTTTAGAAAAAAAAAAACAAAGAAAAACTTTAATTAAATAATTCACTTTAGAAACTGTATCTACCATTCTCTGTATGTAGTGAATAGGTAGGCCTAGGGGCCTATCTATGGTGAGAAATTTAGCACTCACCCAATGTGTTGTTTTGCAGCTTGTGTGTAACATGTGTTTAAATTGGTTTTGAAATTGATTTCATTCTAAAATGTTTTATTTAATTTAATTTTAAGGGACTAGTAAAAAGTCCCAAACAAGGGCTAGTTTCAAAGTTGATTTGGGTCTAAATCATTAATCATTTATCATTCTTTCAATCCTTTTCTATAATTATGTAAGCCTACAGCTGTACGGCTATATACAGTAGATTCTCATGATTTGATTCTACTTGATATAGTAATCATTTTATAAATTCATAATTGAAGTTATTCTATTTCTTATAACATTTTCAGAAAAAAACCTACTAAGCCTACAGGCTTCGGTACACTTCTACCAACACAGAGTACACTTACTACAGTCTAAATGCAGTGTCATAATTATTTTAAAATTTTAGAATTTAATATTAAATAATTATATATTATATATAATATTTAAAAATTTAATTACTGTACAACCTAATTTAAAGTATAATATCTGACCATGAAAAAAAACCAAAAAAACTTATTCCTCTTTCATGTATTCATACTTTTTATGCGCAATGCCTACCAGCAGTACTTTAGTATTAAAAAGTCAATTGTACTTTCATTGGGCACCCTTGTCAACACTATTATCAACCACAGCTATACATATTTCACTTAGGCTTGAGGAGGTGCTATAATTATACAGTAGCTTGCTTAGATTACCTATGTAGTACATTGCACATTGTAGGTCTATGTAAACAGTGTAGTTTACTGTTTACCTTTTAATAAACAATTTAAATTTATATTTCTAACATGTTATTAAAAAGACAGAAAATAGTTGCAGTATATTGGCCATTGAATAACTGTTTAGCGATCGCTCTTTTTTGTGTTAATTAAAAATATACATGGTCTTCATTAAAACTAGGCTAATAATTAACTTATACTGTCATGTTGTTTTAGCGAAGCATTGCCAATTGCTTTAGAGCAAGTTTGTTAATGTATGCATGGCCTTTGGTCAGAAAAGTTACAGAGATACCATCTTCACACTTGCAAATTCAGTGCATGCTCAGTAAGTCGGTAAGAGACACCACCATACAGTAGTATCGGTATGTACTGTAACAATACATTTTATTTATTATTCTTACAATGGCAGTACAGTACAAGTTACTGATAATCAGGTACAGACCCAGTGTCTGTTGGGTGAGGTGGGGTCAGGCACAAAGAGTTCAATTATGGGCCTCTGACCAAGGAGAAGGACATATTCCCTTTCTGACAGTGGTGTATACTGTACCTTTTAAAAAGCTCAGGTATTTAGCCATTTTGATCTCTTGTCCTACTTAGAAGATTTCTCAATTGGTTAAGAGTTTTTTTGCTGCCAAGAGGTTTTCACCCCTTCTGGACCTGCTGAGCTTGTACTGTAAAGGTTTCATCTTTTGTTGGTTGTCGCTGATCTCCGACTTTCTGGATACTGTATTGAAGTACTGTACATCCATACTGCTATTCTGTATGATTTAGATCCTATTCCTCTCCTGGGTCTTGAAATTGAAGGCTCCTAAAATGATTTTAATCTTTGACATTTATCTGAATTGTATGTGTAATTTACAGTACAACAGATAATGTGGTTTAGGCTAGACTACAGTAGGAAAGTATTACATAATATTTCTGTGGTTAGACAGAAGGAAATACTCCAATCAAGTGAATGCTCTGTGAAATATCGTGGGAGGGTAACGGTTTGTTACCGCAATGTGCATTTACGCATTAATGTATTAGTGTTGTTTATTTTTTTTACCATAAAACTATAATTATACAGAAATGTAATAAGATAACAAAGTCACCTTGGTCAATCATTCAACACAGTATAGCATTGCAAGAATTTCAGATTAAACTTTCACTGTTAGGCGAGATTTTTTATACCTTGTTTCGCAAACTTATTTCATTGAAATCATCAGAGGAAGGTGGAAAAAAATAGAAATTAAATTTGGTTTTCTTATTTAGCAAATACTGTAGTTAGCCAAAAACATCCAGATGGAGGAGAAAATGAAAATAAAATTTTATTGGTGAATGTAAAGAGTGTACAGTAGTAATGTGATGGTTAAATGCTTATTGGGAATAAATATTACAATATTATTTTTTGAGATTTTAAGGCAGTAGTGAGTGTAATAAAAATACAAAAAAAAAAAAAAATTTTCCTGAAATTTCCATCTTTTCATGACGGTGTGTTCGCTAGACAAGGTATAAAAACATCTCACCTTTTTAAAGGATCTGTCCTCAATCTTGCATGTCAAACAGCAATTTCACTCTAATACAGTAGTCCTATTGTACTTAGAAATAATTTTACATGCATGCAACATATACAGGTAGCAAGCCAGTCTATAATATGTAATGCAAATTCAGTAGACTATGAATGACAATATGGACTATCTGATGGTAAAATATTGAATATTAAAGGGTTGTAAAAGAATGAAAAATTCAATTTAAGGATTGAATTTTACATTTAAATGTATTTAATTTAGTTCAAATTTCAATATCAAAGATAACGGTTATGCTCTTTTTATACTATGAAAATCTCATTTCCCATGCAGTAGGAATTTGCATTTTGTAATTGGTGGTAAAACTACAGCAGGGACCTATAGTGTTTTTCATGTATTGTTTAGCCCGAACTACTATCAAATAAAATAAAAAATTGACATTAATAAATTTAATTGAAAGCTATGACAACTGAAATTTATACATACAAAGTGTCAGTTAAATTATTAAATATTTTTTTTTAAAGTTTAATGAGATCAACACGGATACTGTAGGCCTATCTGTAATGCAAGATAATCTTGAAATTTGCTGTTTGCTGCCGACTTCAATTTGTAACTTGAAAATGCATAGTAACATACACCCTGCATATTCATCACACGTTCATTGTGTTGGCTTCGCCTTGCCGTATCAGATGCATTCTATTCAAAGCAACGTCCCTTGTCAGGCCTCTTGTATCTCATTATAATATGCATGCCTTTCAGGCATTCAAAACAGCCTTCTTTATTTATACTGTGCATACTGAATGCAGTGAGCCAGGCTGCCTGGCTCGATTCACTTTTGTTATTTTGAAGGCGTGCAATATTTGAGACCTGTAATCATTTTGATTCAGTATGAAAACACTGGCAGCTGCAACAAGAGCTAAATCTTTTTTATTATTTTATATTCATATTTCTGGTAATAGAAGTACTGTAAAATGCATTCTTATAAATTATTTCTTGAATATTTGCACATCTTTTAAACCATTGGTTTTTTTCTTCTCAGACCAAAATATATATATTTTTTTCTTTTTGTAAAAATGCCACTGGTGTCTTTTTTTTTTTTTTTGGTGATTTTTTACAGTGTAGGTGAAGTCTATTTTCATTAATTTTTATATTCATTATTATGGTACTTTATATAGATGTTAAAGTAAACCTTTAAGACTATATATTATAACAGAAAAAAAAAAAATCATATTTGATAATTTACTCCATCAGTATTTTAGCTACAATTTTTAATGTTTTTCCTGATTCTGATTTCCTCACCCACCACATTTTATTCAAACTAGGTCTGTAATTATTGTTAGAAACTATTTAAACTCATTTTCCACTAAATATGAACGAAAATAAAAAGCAAACAATATCCGCACTTCAGATTTAGACAATCAAAAATCACCAAATAAAATCTCCCTTAATGAAAATGATAGAAGAAGAGGGTAAAGTCAAACATGGATGATTTGCCAGCATCAAAAGATAGTAAAAAAAAAAACACATTAGGCCCTATAAAAAATATTATTAGTTTATCACCCTATCTGGGCAGGAAAAGTGATGAGGGAGGGAGGCTTTTTTTTTTTTTTTTTTTTTTGAGGGAGGGGGGTTTTTTTTTTTTTTTTTTTTTTTTGCTAAAGCCAAATATAAACCCTTGGTTTGTTTGTTGGTGCATTGATATTCAAAGTAAAACATGATTTAGATAATGCAAACAATATCTACTAACTAATTAATAAAATAAATGAAAAAAATAAATAAATAAAATTTTTTAAAAAAATTTAAAAATTTGAAAATTTTTTTTTTCTTTTTTTAGTACCATAAAAGGCATGAGCGT